TGAAAACAAAAACTAACACAAAAAAAAACTATAACTATGACACTGATAACTGCTACTAGTCCCAAACGCCGCGCCACGCCCCACAAAAATGTTGACGATGATGACTGGATCTCTTGCCAAAACTGTCTTGTCATTCCAAACACTAGTCCTCTAAAGAAGCTCTTCAACCAGGCTTTGATACCATGTTGGTAAATCAGAACACGGTGGAAATTGTTGTGTATTATTACTAACAGGATATAGCGTTTATATGGCTCAAGATAGGGTGCATAAACATGGGTTATGCACCAATCAATAACTAAATCTAGACCCTTCATTCAGAAAATCCAATTCTAAGGATGAAGAATTAAAGGTTATTTTTATCTTCCCTTGTTTTCTTAATCGGCTCATATCTTCTTCGTTTTAACTCGGATTTCAATTTATTTTTTTGCACAGATGGAACGAGTTTGTTGTGCTCTACAAAACGATATCCATTTTCAATATTTTTTGAGGAAAAAAACTCTTGCCTCTCGGTACCAATTGCATACCATATGGTATCTTCTTCGTTTTTAATTCGTTTTTTAGAACATTTGCATAGAAGGAACGAGTTCATCATGATCTATTGGATCTAAAAATTTCTGGGTGAACAAATTACAGGACCAAAAAATACCACAAAAGACCACCCTGGTACGGGGTGGTATCTTGTGGTACACAATGTTAAAAGTCGTAAATGACAGTTAATATACTTCTACTATAATGTATTCAACCATTCTACAGTCTTGGTTTGTTCATACCATATGTATGCTTTTATTTCAATACCAGTCAATACCATGTGTATTCAACCATGGTACGCTTTTCAAACCATATGTATGCTTTTATTTCAATATCAGTCAATACCATATGGTATAGACTTGTAAAAAATGACTCAATTTTTTTTTGTTCGAAAAATATATCAAAGTGGATATCATTTTGAAGAGCACAATTAATTTGATCTAACTATGCAAAAAAAATTAAATTTTGACTTAAAACGAGTGAGAAACCGTCCGTCAAAGATTAAATAGGGGAAAATTAAAGGTTTTCCAGGAGAGAGAGAGGGATGCTGATGTCATGCTGATGTGGACGAGTTAGTCATGGTTACTCACCATAAGGTTACTGACCTGATCCGTTCCCCGTTTATATAGAGTATAGAGAATAACTTCTATAATAACCCTAACACTAATATGGAAACTAAATAAATTTTACAACTCTGATAAGGAATATAACTCTGTCCAATTACATAACAATACTCGTAGTATAACATAATACTACTCGTACTACACATACTATAATAGATGGAAGCCAACTAGCCCCTCAAATGGAGGTAAAGTTTAAGTAGCTCGTTGAAATTGGTGGTTTGATAAACACGTAATATAGAATTCAAGTATTTGAAGAAATCATATATATTCATATAGGTTTAGTTGAGAGAAGGGTAAAATACTTCGGATGTCACTTAAGTTTGAAAATTAGGGTAGACATACCACTTAAGTTTGAATAGGGCGTCGGGTACCACTGAACTCTATTATATGTGCACCCGGTACCACTTAGGTTTACTTTTAAGTGCATTCCGTTAAAGTTGACAAAATATTCTTGGAATATTCTGTTTTTTAAATTTCATTATTGGTCCTTCTACTTTTCTTATTATAAAATAATCATTTGGACTTATGAAAAATATCATTTTTTATTGTTTAGTTAAAATTCTCTTTTGAATACTTGATACCAAATCAATTTTTGAATAGAAATTTTAGAATAAATTATCATTATAATTATTTTTAATTATTATTATGTATTCTAATAATTGAATTATTCCATGAATGTCGTAACTAAACAATGTTGTAGCTTTTATAGTCATATTTTCTTTTTTATATTTTTTACCGAATGTTGTAGCTTTTATATTTTGTTTATTACTTGGTTACTTTTCATTTATTTTCATTCTAAATTTTTTCAATCAGTGAAATATGTTTAATTATTTCTGATTGTGTTCTATTTATCTTTTTTTTTATTTTGACGTATTGATGATCGATTACATTCTATTTTAACTATTTTGTTTTGGTGAAACTATTTTAAATATTTCTAATGGTGATTCTAATTGAATTAGGAGGTTTAAATAGATATTCTAATATTTATTTTAAATATTATTATTATATTCTAGCATATTTATTATTCTTCTTGATAGTCGTTTACTATTTTTACTATTTTATCTATTTTATTGAAAAATTTTATTAGTCATTCTAGTAATAATATGCTTATAAGGTTTTCTAATTATTATATTAGATAAACTTGTTGAAATATAGTTTTGGATGTTTTTAAAAGTTTTGGGTATCTAAAAGTAATTAAAATTTTGAGTCGGATGGAAAAATAGACAGATGCACTTTTTGTCAAATTTAATGGTACCCGACGCCCTATTCAAACTTAAGTGGTATGTATACCCCAATTCTCAAACTTAAGTGACACCCGAAGTATTTTACCCGTTGAGAGAACTTGTATAGTATTAGAATGCATGTTTGTCGTGCAATGAATTCATGGGAAGACACACATAATTTGATAAGAAATTAAATAATTTTGAGTGAAACCCCATGAATTCTTAAACTAATATCTTGATATTTGCCCAAAATGAAACAAAAACAACATAATTTCAAATGTCTTGTAATATGAAAATTAATTGATAGATGACATGATTGTCAAACCACCACTAAACTATTTTGAATCCCAATCCAAAATCCCAAATTGTAAACTAAACCCTAACCCTAATCCCTAAATCCTAAATCCTTTGAATTAAAGTTAATTTTGAATGAATTTTTTTTCTTCAAATTCATGTGCTTCTTGTTCATAATATCATAAGCAACAATTGATACCATTTTGACATGAATCGCATGGTCAGAATGACAATTATGAGGCGGATGCACTGAGTGCGCCCGAAAAAGTGGGTGCACCGAATACGCCACCATATATATATATATATATATATATATATATATATATATATGTGTGTGTGTGTGTGTGTGTGTGGCGGTGTATTCGGTGCACCCACTTTTTTGGGTGCATTCAATGCACCCGCCTCATAACCGTCATTGTAAACATGTGATTCATGTCAAAATGATGTCAATCATCAGTTAAGATGTGATGAACGATCAAACACAGGAACTCGCACAAAAATCCTTCAAGATTTACTTTAATTTGAAGGATTTAGACTTAAGAGATTTAGGGTTAGGGTTTATAATTTGGGGTTTATGGATATAATTCAAAATTGGAGGTCTAGGGCTTAGGGTAATCCATTAATTTGTTGTGATCAAATGTTATATCATCATATTACACTAATTCTCCAAATTAAAATTCAAAATTTGACACCTTAAAACTAGTTTTTGAGTTGGGTGCATTGAACGCACTCATTTTTGTGAGTGCATCGAAGTAGTCACCATATATATGGTGGCATCTTTTTTCCCGTCTTTGGTGCACTCATTTTTTTATGCATACAATGCACTTGCCTCATAACCATCATTTTAAAAATGCGGTTTATATCAAAATGAAGTCAATCATCACTTGCACAAAAATCATTCAATATTTACTTTGATTAGAAGGATTTAGGGTTTAGAAATTTATGGTTGGGATTTAGGATTTACAATTTGTAGCTTAGGGTTAGGGTTCAAAGTTAAAGGTTTAGGGCTCAGGATAATAAATTGATTAGTTATGATTTTATGTTATATTATCATAATAGACTAATCCTATCGATTAAAATTCAAAATTCAAGGAGTAGTTTTAAAATTGGTTGCATAAGTTGCACTCATTTTGTGAGTATATTGAAGAGAAGTAGTCAATGTCTTAAGAAGTTTAAGTAGCCGTTAAACACCCACCCCACCCAATATATAAGTTAAGCAAATGGAAAAAGGTTAACAGGACAGTAGAAGAGCGCACTATACAACAAAGCATAGTGGAGTGCGATGGGGTAGCGCTGCTTTGGCTCTTTCTAATCTTTCTTGAAAGATGGAATTAACATACGATAACGATACCAATATATCTCGATCACAGACAAAATTTGTTCACGAGCAATTCCCAGACTGCCTCTACATTTTTATATTAGACCAGGCAGCGACCTCTTAATTACAAAAAAAAAAAAAAAAAAATTCTTCATTTACAAAAGGATTATTTTAGAGTCGACTGTGTTTATTTTATTTTATTGTAACCTGTGCTAGAGTCAGACTGTGTTCACTGAGAGTAGTACTCAATATTATCACATAAGAAACATACAGCTAATTTTCCAAAATAACTTGATATGTCAAATATTTCCAGTCAAAAGGTGGGATGGATCATGGCGTTTTCTTTTCCCAGTTTCAAAGGTCTATATGACTTTTCCGTTGAAAGGGATGCCCACTACGAACGATGCCGAAAAAGAACAAAAAGGGAGGAAAAGGGCGTCTAGCTCGAAATGATTGCAAGCATAATTTTGAAAGATTATTTCTTGCTGGCGATGCACGATTCTGATCCCTCTACTTTATCTCATCTACCAAACAGGTCCCCTAATTTTCACAAACACACCCTTGTATCAAATGATGTTACATATAAAGTATCACCTACTCCATAGATCACCACAAACAGCAATTCCTCACGTCCATTGTCCAATAAAGTACCCACCTCCATCCTATCATTCACCCACTTTTCCACCATCCAGAAAAAATGCTAAATAGCCGAAAAAATATGAAGATACTTGAAGAAGCATAGGCTAGGATATGATACCTTGGATTTCAATCATACAGATCACAGTTACAAGTCCAGGTCTGAAACTCAGCAATGCACCAAACTAAGGAGAAAGAGAAGGGAGGGAGGGGGCATCGCTCGCTCTCTCAGCTTTCCATGGCGGGGAAAAAAAAAGACATGAAGCGGAGAGCTTAAGCATGAAGCCGGAGGTGTGAGTATACAAGGTTCATTCGCAGAAAGTTAGTAAACGATCCAGACAGTGGAGGTAAAAGAGGTAAGAAAGATTAAACTGTTGGTCACGGAGCAGATGAACCTGCAGGCAGAGAACTATCCAGTGTGTTCCGGACGGCCAATGCTGCAGCCCTGTACCAGGCAGCTGCAGCCATAGCTCCTGGATCAGGAACTGATGCAACTATCTCAGGCGACACATAACTCGACCGCCCAGCCTGCGATTGGTGTTGTATCAGAATATTTGAATTGTATACAAAGTGGAAACTATGCAGGGAAGTGAAAATATGGAGCATGTAAACCAAACTTCTAAATTATGCCGGGCCATATTGTTTCGATTATCACAATTCTGTGCAACAAGAAAGCAATGAGCAGAGGGAGGTTGATGATTGGGAGGGGTTCATAAGATTTCTGTTTCTTTTCTAAGTTACCTGTGCTTGCATCAGTTTGGTTGATTCAGCACCAGTTAAGGCTGCTTCTGAAGAAAGAACAAAGGCAGTGACAGGATCATCCCCGGCCTTTAACCTCTGTTGTAGAATAGTTTGATTGTTATTAACCATAAACATAACAAAATAGAAAATTTACTAGGATCGCTTATGACACTAGACCTGCTGCAAAGCTTGAGAAGCAGGAATAAGAGCATCCAGCAATGTCCGAAAACCAGCAATAGCACCACCGTATTTACTCACTGCAGTAGTTGAAGCTTCCAGCGCTTCAGCCCCTGATCCAGAAAGGAGAGTTAGGGTTATGGGCGTTGGACCAAGGACTATTGGATTTGGAATCTCAACTTACAATGATTTGATGTAACATCTGACTGTCCATTTGCTTTCAAGCTTGCATACGCTGCCTTACAAAGTATAGTGTACCTGCGTCAAAAACCAAATGCAGGTTGATTACTTAAATGAGAAAATTATGATAACTACGGAAAGAAAAAAGGGAGCAAAGAAATGAAGCAACCCAATTACATTATCCCACTTGTTCCACCCATAACTCTGCTAATAGATGATCCCATTTCGTTTACTGTTTCGGCAGCATCGTTTAGAGGATAGCTGGCCAAAAAAAAAAAGGTAGAATATCAATGAAAGAAACAATATACGAATGACAAGGATTCTGAATATGTTTCAGGATTATTCTACCAATCATATCAGGGAAACCTAATCAAGTGCAATAACTTTTGATTTGAAAAGTAACTCTGTACTGGAGAGTTGTTATTGTCATCGCATCAAGGAATATGCATTTATTCTGTGGGAACCAGTTGAAATAACCATCCGGAAAGAAAATTTTCAAGAAGGCCAATAAGCAAAATCCTCTCCAAGGAACATATCAAATTGTGTTGATGCTAAAGCCCAAATCAAAGGTTTCAACGGGAAAAAAAAAAATCAAATCAAAGAACAAATCGGAACAGACTTAAGTTTCATGATGCCAAGGTTGTTTTATTGCCCAAAGCTTTTTGGTAGTAGCGTAGTATGTAAGACAACTTACTATTTCTTCATATCCTCAAGAATTGCTGTTGCGCCCCTGTACATCTGCAAAAAAGATGAATTTGGCCATGTTATAGGAAATACTTGAATATGGGATTGCAAAAAATTATCACCGAAACTGTTAAGAAAATACTTACAGTTGATCCACAATCACCATCGCCGACTTTGCTGTCCCATTCATTCAATGGATCCTTAAGGTTTACAACTGCAGTTGCTGCTGCCTCAATAGCCACCTCGAGAAGGATCCCTTGTTTGCTCAGCTGAACTGGCCGACACAAGGACTAATAGATGCAACAATGTGGAATCAGACAAACATTACTAACCTCATACTAGGTTGCAGCTCAAGGCAAACTACTCAGTTTGCTCATACTTGGTAATAACTACTCTATGAAACTATTGCAAAAGGACCGTATACCAAATTTAGAGGAATTGAACATAATATTTTCTTCATAGGACACAAGCAACTTTTCCTTCTTAGTTATCCGGAAGGGGTTAGTTAAGCACGGATGATGACATCCATCCGATGTTAAATTTCGGAGGCCAATGTTAAAGCCTATAGCAAGAAATAGCATCATATCACTGTTGGCGAAATTAACAATTTAGACCATAGCTTGTAAGAAATGAAAACTTAGGTCCCCACTGTTAAAGCCCCCATTTAATGACAACGGGAGCAAAGAATACCATTAGGTTATAGTGTGAATTACATTTCCATGCGTATTTTGTTTGCTTTGAGGGGGAAAATTTTTTGAAGGACCAATTCAGTAAAAAAAGCTCAGACTCTAGAGAGCAAATGAAAATACTACTTTCCATATAAAGAAAATGCAAACATACCACGTCACTTCTTGCCGAAGGAGACTGTGGAAGTGGAACAGGTATCTTTGCTGGTGGACGATTGCCTGTATATGAAGATTCCATGAAATCAATTAAGAATGTTCGACCAAGTCTGGGCAGGCATGGAAAATTGCCTGCTTGAATATTCTAATCAGCTCTTATAACAGCTTCAGAGCAGTTTTACCAGAAAACATGACCAGTTTATGTCAATACATAATCATCACAGAGATCACCCTTATGCATAAGAAACAAATAGGATGAGAACAAAAAGGAAAAACAATAGGAGATTTATTTGAAATATATCACAGACCATCTACACCAACAGGCCAGTATGGTGCAGTAGTTGCAGCGTCGAGGCGTTGCAGAATAGCTTGATCGGCCTTCATTATAGTAATTGAAAATCCTGAATAAATAAGCCATTAGCAAGAGGTATAGAATTCATTTAAATTTTCTGGTTTCATCAGAGTCAGACCTGCCATGTCGAGCGAGGTCATAAACGACCCAGTATACACTCTTTCTACAGCCAATCCATGTTCAAGCTGCAGTTGAGGGACTGCTTTCCCAGCGGCAATCATTAGCTCCATGGCAGGGGTCGCACCTAATCTGCCGAGACACATTACAAATGAACATGTCATGGGAACTAAACACCAAGGATTTTCACTCTAAACAGAGCAAAAAACCTAGGTTGAAGCCTAAGTAGTCTGCTAGAAGAACTAACGATCTAAATTTCAACTATCTAGGTGATGTGCTAGTAAGTGTAACATTATAAAGATCATAAATTCTAGCAGCACAGTCAGACATAAAAGGGGTGCTTGATATTAAACATAAAAGACCAGATATACAAAGCCTACCCATTGACCATGAGCACCACTCGACTGCCCCGGGTAATTGGAACGTAATTAGTTTCCTGGAACAGTAAGATGTTACAAATGGAAGGATAACAGAAGTATCATCGAAAAATATTCACAAAGTTGCAGACTAAAAATTAGTACTCTTACCATATTGGGCAATACATGAATGCAAAACACATCATCTCAAGAATCACAAACTGACATAAATGTGGCCCCTAATTTCTTTCATACATGGATGCACAAATAGAATACGTTCAGAATAGTTATTGTTTTATTAGTATGAACATTTGACTGGGAATTTTCAAACAGTCGGCACTTAGTCTCCAGTGATTGGTCTTTCGGTTTTATGAAAGACTATCTTGCTCACATTTAATGAAAGATAAATAACCAAGCATGAACTCTTGAAGCATACCTGAGAGAGAATTTGCTTAAGAACATGAGAGACCACAACAGCAACAGGCTGAATGTCGGCAACTGCAGCACCAGGTTCGCCATGCTGGAAAAGTAGAATCATAAAAACAGAATACTTAAAAAGGTTGAGAACAAAAAATGACGATGCTCCATCAATATTACCAGGCCAGCTCATGACACTCATTTTGTTCTATTACATGCAATTTGGTAATTATCATGAACATTTGATTGAATTGAGTGGTGAAGTAGGCTAATCACTCACAATTCCAAGACCAAGTTCCATTTTTCCGGATCCTAGACGATCTGGTGTGACTTGCCCTGGCAGTGTGCACACTGATAATGCGACACCCATGGTTCCAACTAATTCAGATGCATGCCTTGCTTCTTCAGCAACATCCTCAAGAGGAAGACCAGCAGCCGCAGCAGCACCAGCAACCTTCCAGAAAGAACAAAGTAAAGATTTAACATTCTTACACTACAATACCCAACTTTATTAACAAAGAAACATCATAAGAACACAAGCAAACACCTAGACACAATTCCTCAAACTCATAACATCCCACTACACAACAGGAGTGGAAATATATACATATGCTGAGTGCTTGTGCCTTTTAACACTGGAGGAAGGGAGGACGGCTGGCAAGATGGAGAAAGAAAGAGATAGTGACCTTATGTACTAGAATAGTCCCTGCCAAACCTCTTCTACCAGCAATGCCCCGTGGTGGAGGTAAAGCACAGTCATCTCCAACTATTACAGACTGCAAAGCAAATTCAAAGTAACTGATGAACTTCAGGCAAGCCAGTTATCGTCTTATGGATGAAAAGAACATGGAGTAAATTAATTACTACCTCTACTTTATAACCTTCAGATTTTGCCTGCTCAGCAGCCAATCCAAAATTCAGACGGTCACCAGTATAATTCTGTCCCCACAAAGATATCACTGATTATACATCTTCCCCAATGTTGAGATTCAGCAGTCAGCATTGATTTGATAGTTTCTTTCCAATATGATAAAGTCCCACAGAAAATACAATAGCTACATTATCAGCTTTAGTTTACAGAAATCTACCTTGACAATTAGAAGACATCCCATGGGACCAGTTACAGCTCGAATGCCCTAAATTTGAATGATGTTAGAGCAGAAACATCTCAAAGATGGGAACTATATATTATGAAATATATAGTATAAACAAAAAAACATACAGCTAGGATTGAATCTACTTGTGGTGATGCAAACACATCTCCACATACAGCAGCAGTGAGCATCCCTTCTCCAACAAAACCAGCATGAGCAGGTTCATGGCCGCTTCCACCCCCTATATAAGGCAACACAGAAATGGTAATTGCTCAAAATTTATATATTTCTGTTGCAAAAGATGGCAAACAGGCTATTGAGCAGCCATCACAATCGGAAATCGCCAAAGTATTTTGAACCGCAATAGAACATGACAAGAATCTGGAGCCATTCTCTTGGTTGGATTAGGATGAACAATTACATAACTCTCCCATTTCTCTGCCTTGGGTGAACTGTAATAGAACATGAAGACAATTGAACAAGCCATATCTCGCCTAATTGTCTGCAGAAGATGAACTGTAACAGAGCACCGTAACAAACCTAGCTGTACCTTCCTTTTTTTTAGCCTATTGTATTTTACTATTATTTTCCTCCCTATGCCGAACATTTTCCCACCCCATTCCATCAGCACTAGTCAAAAATTTAGGCATACATACATCAATACGGTGCATGTGATCCAAAGTTAACCATTTCTGACATCCTTATTTGAGGAAGGTGTCTGAACATGAGAGAATAGCTCAAGTGCAAGCAACAAGAAAGTAATAAGAAAGAAAAGCAGGAATTGTTGTATTCTGGATTATGGCAGAAATAGCTACTGGCTAGCCCTTGCAAGTGAGAAAGCCAACTAACTAGGACCTTAAATGAACAAAATTATGAATTCTTTTGCACATGGGTCAAGGATACAGGACGTATAGAGATAACCGTCATTTTCCTCAACCAGAGTAGCAACCAAACATGAGGTGTAAAGTTCAAAGCAATTAATTGCAGGTAAGAACAAGTATACTTCACTATCTCAGTTCTCAATACTGGAGATATTTTTTCCTTCTTTTTTTCTCTCCAGAGGATGTGGTCTACGTCGCAAGGACAGGAAACCACCTACTCTAATTCAAAGCATGGCTGGGGACATATCAGTCACTTCAAGGCTGGTATCCAAGGTTGGGGAAACAGAACATAAAACTGAAACATTTTCTACTGTAATAAACCTGATATGATTGCAACTTTGTCATTTTTGGCACCAGCAACATCAGCACGTAAAACAACCTTGACCTGCAGTCCACAAGTGAAAAGTGAAGGCTGAGTAAGTTTCATTTAATGAGCATCTTTGAGTGACAAATAAAGTTTCTACTGAGCTACGAATTCACCTCCGGGAAACCATCCAGATATTGCATCCCAGGATAGGACTCCACAAGACCCTCAATAAACTCTGTCACAACATCTGCAACCATGGATCAATAAAAATGACATATCCAGGTTAAGATCCACATAACAGATAACAGAGCTGAACTTACATTTCATCAACAACAGTTTCAGTGCATCACATGCAATATCGACCAGTTAATGATATCAGAAACAAGCAAACACTTCAATAGTTTTAACTCTCTGCTAATATGTGTACCAGACTACCAGGAGAAATCAGCATCACGAACCAGCTATTTCAGTAGTTTTAACTCTCTGCTAATAATCTACAAGCCTAACCCGTAGAACTAGTGAATAAACCTTACTATGAGCTATTATCCACTCAAGATCCAAGACAAAGAACCACAGGTGCGATTCTAGTTACGCACAGCAATCTCAAACTTCTTTCAGCAAATCCCCCAAATTCAGGACCAATGCAGAAACTCAAGTGCAATTCAAAGCAACAGTTCGATGTTACCTCAAATTCGGAAAAGAAATCATCCAAACAACGGCGACAGTTTTTCCTTCGTTTTCTTTGCGTCCAAACACAGAGCTAGGAAGAAATAACGAAATACTACTCAAGAACCGAAGGAAGGACGGAATGCTGAAAATGTACGAACCATTGGGGTCGTTGATGAGCTTCTTGCCACAAGAAGCCATTGCCAGCGCTTCGCTTCGCTTCTCCGGCGTCCACAGGGAGATGGAAATGAACTTCGTCGGACGATTGCGAACAGAGCGAAATTGCGAGGCAGAGACCAGAGATAGACTGGGAAAAGCTCGGCTGGAGCCGTGAAGGTGGAGCTTCTTCTCTTTTTTCCTTCGTCGACCAAGTGCGACGGAGGGAGCGGAAAGGGGGACTGGAAAACTTACAAAGCACTACTACTGGACTGGGAAACTTGTAAATTGGTTTTTCTGTTTGGCCGTTTTTCCCTTTTTCTTCCTATCGCAGCTTTTGCACGAACAGATTTTTTCCCCCATTTTTCCACACGGTTGCGGCATTAAAAATATTTTCTTTCTTGGGTGATGTGCCCAGAGTACCCTTGGTTTTGCTGTGAATTTACCCCTTCGGTTGATACATCTTTGTTCTTTATGAGGATCATCTGGTGACACGTGTCCATGACATATATTGCTAAACTCACTTTTACTTTGTACAATTTATTTGTCACTAAATTTAATTAATAAGGTCGAATTGATAGATGAAAATGGATTTCCAACACATGTGTATGCGTTATTAAGAGTGTACAAGGCAGGAGTTAGTATCACTGTAACCAACTTGAATAAATAATTTGAAGTGACTAAAAATGAATAAACAACAAAGGATACATATAGATAGGGCTGGGAAACGGTGCGGTCTGGTATAAATAATTTGATAAGTGACTAAAAATGAATAAACAACAAAGGATACATATAGATAGGGCTGGGAAATGGTGCGGTCTGGTCCAGACCAGACCATATATACGGTCTACGGTCCAGACCGAGAGGTTAAATTATAGACCACATACCAGATCATAGACTATACGGTCCGGTCCAGACCACGCCTGTGCGGTCTGGTCTAGTCCAGATAGACCACACCCAATGAGAAACGAATAATTTGTTTAGTCAACCACACAAAAAAAATTGAACCAATAACTAGGAAAAATAATTGTTATTTGCCTTAAATCATTAATCCTAACATGCATGAATAATTTTGATACTCTAAATCTTAGTACATAACAAAGATACAAAGTAAAAGCATCTCAACTTGCACCATAACATCATAAGCATTAACATAATGTCATATGGAGACACGATTATCTCTACTCTCTGGTTAAATGTGGTTGTGAATGAAGGAGGGACGAGATTCACAAAACTAAGGTTGAGACTTGAGACTTGGGTGTCTTTGTGGGAGTTGGGAGAGTGGTCGAATGGGTTGTTAACATGTATTGACAAGTCAGTTGGGTCCACGGTTTGGTCCGGTAAACCGCGGTCTAGACCAGACCAGATCAAGAGATCAAAACATAAAATAATACAGACCATGGACCAGACCAGACCATACTTAACAATCTACGGTCCGGACCAAACTGTGCGGTACGGTTTGGACCACAGTTTTTCTAACGGTCTGGTCTATTTTCCCACCTCTACATATAGATGTTGATTAGCAACTATATTGTGGCCGGCCATCATCAGATAATTTTTAATAGTTATTCTGAAGTTGTAACAAATATGTATTCGAAATAAACGATAACTAAATATCAGGGACGAAGTCAGGATTTTCAATTAGTAGCTGTCAAATTTTTTCTCTTACAGATGAAGAAAATCCTTAAAACTTAAAAGTATAATATCAAAACTATTGGCAATCTTTTTTATGTAAGAACCATTTAAACTTATATCAATAATACTATGAAAATCATGATATATATTTCAAAATAAAATAGCTTAAATTAGCCTTTTTGTTCCAAAGATAATTGGAATTACTAATACCGCAAAATGATCATGTTCGCATAGTTGTCAAAATCCAACTACAAATATCAAGACAAATCGAGATAGGAGGATGCATTGAGAAGGTCTTTTTAGACTAGATTTAACTATTTTAAATAGCAACATGTTAAATCTTCAAATAAATTCACTTGCAAATAGAAAAGAATATCAGGAGAGAGGTTGTGGGGGAGAGCAAATTTTAAGCAAAATAAACATAAGCTAAGATTGAACCCTCATACTCCCTCCCAATTTTAACAATTTCTACACGTCAAACCACTACGCTACATTAGTTCTTTGTTCTCATACTTCACTTCTGCTGGTATTTGAAAGTTTAGCTACAAGCTGGCTCCGTCCCTGCTAAATATATATTGAACGAGTTTTTTTTAGCTAAACGCTAACTAGAAGCAAGCCACTAATTCAGCTAGGAATATTAGAGTCCTACAGATTGAGGTAGAAGCGCTCAAAGGGGAAGAGGAAACAGATTGGGATCGAATAGGAGAGCTGGAGAGGGAGTTATCGAAGCAATGGGTAGCGGAAGAAATGTTTTGGTGACAGAAGTCGCGGGTAGGCTGGTTGCATGAGGGGGATCAAAACACTTCATATTTTCATACTATTACTCGTGCACGAAGGAGGCGGAAGTATATTGATGGCATGTATGATAAAAATTGAATATGGGTCACTTTGGAGGAGGAGAAATGTGCAGTGGCTGGGGATTTTAATGAGGAATTGCTTGCAACCGAAACCAGGTTGCGAATATGGCCGAACGAGTGGAAGAGTTGCCAATCCCGGGGTTGGTTTCACAAGAAATTAACGCGGCCTTGGTGATGGAAGTGCAACTGAAAGAGATACGCCAAACGATTTTCTCAATAGGACCTACCCAGGCTCCTAGGTCGGATGATTTTACAGGGAAGTTTTTTTCGAGCATTTTGGGACATAGTGGGGCCAGATGTAGTTGATGCAATTCAGCCTTTTTTCCGTCTGGGAAAATGTTGAAAAGCTTTAACCATGCTTGGTTAACGTTACTTCCTAAGGTAGATGCGGTGGAGAACGTATGATTAGTCTATGTCAGGTCAGGTGTTTTATAAAATTACGACCGATCAGTCTTTGTCAGGTGTTTTATAAAATTATCTCCAAGATAATGGCATAACGAATGACTACTCATTTGCCCATGCTTATCTGACCAGATCAAAATGGGTTCATTAGGGAACGTCAGATTTGTAGATAATGTTCTTATAAGTCATGAAATTATGCATTACCTGAAAGTCAAGAAGCATGAGAAAAAGGGTTATCTAGCTCTTAAGGTAGATATGGAAAAAACCTATGACAGGGTAGAATGGCCCTTTTGTTCGCAGTTATGACTAAGATGAGTTTTTATCATAGATGGATTGAGTGGATTAAAGAGTGTGTCTCCACAACCTCTTTCTCAGTTCTGATGAATGGTACACCAGCGGGATATTTTCGGTCGACTAGGGGGCTCCGCCAAGGTGATCCGTTATCCCCTCTATTATTTGTGTTGTGTTCGGAGGGTTTTGCGGCGCTTTTGAGAAAGGCATTTCAGCAGAGGCATTTAGCAGGGGTTAAAGATAGTGTGTGAAGTTCAAGTGTGTCCCACCTATTTTTTGCAGATGATTCGTATTTGTTTTTGCGAGTGTCAATTGGTGAATGTCAAAATTTACTAGCAGTTATGCAGGAGTATCGGTCATTAAGTGGACAGAAGGTGAATTTAGCGATATCAGCAGTGTGTTTTAGTGGTAATGTAGAGGAGCTACAAAAGCAGGAAATGGCTCGGCTTTAGAGAGTACGAGCTGTGGGTGTTCATGAAAAGTATTTGGGATTTTCGTCACTAGTACATCATTCCAAAACTAAGACATTTAGATTCTTATAGGATAAATTGTTATCGAAGTTGCAGGGATGGAAGCAAAAAAAAATTCTTGGGTTGGGAATGAAGTTCTTTTGAAGGTTGTAGCGACGACATTACCTATTCATGTTATGGTGTGTTTCTTGTTACCAAAAACACTTTGCCGGAAAACTAGACAAGCATATGACACAATTCTGGTGGGGTTACACTGCAGAAGGATATAAGGCGCATTGGGTTTCTTGGAGGAATCTTTGTCGTACCAAACATGATGGTGGGCTTGGTTTTAGACGTTTTGAGCTCTTTAATAAAGCTCTTTTGGTGAAAGTTGCTTGGCAAATATGGCAGGAGTCGGAGTCTCTGCTGGCGCGCGTTTTAAAAGGAAAATATTTTCCCAAGGTAGGGTTCTTGGAAGCCACCTGTCGTTCAAGACCCTCTTGGGGGTGGGTGGGGATTTTACATGGTCGGGAATTGTTGCTGGAAGGTTTGAGATGGCAGGTAAGTAATGGTGCGACGGTTCGTGTCATGGAGGATAGGTGGATACCCAGTTTTGGAAATGTGGCGGTCTCCTGACGGCAGTAATTCACCCGGATCAAACAGTGGACGTTTTAATGGAGCCGGATACAGGGCAGTGGTGTGATGTATGCCTAGAGCTTTGTTTCCCCACAGAAGTTGTTGATGTTATCCACAGTCTTCCATTGCCGCTTTGTCAGGTTGCGGATGGCGTGGTATGAGAGTGGGAGCAGTTGAGGCTCAACTCGGTAAAATCTAGGTATCATTTAGCCTTGCAATTGAGTCGACAGAAGCCTGGGTGGAGGGAGGAAGTTTCCTTTTTTTATATGACGTTTTGAAAGAAGGCATGGGATTTTTCTATTCCCCCTAAGCTTAAATTTTTTGTATGGCAAGTGATGCGTCGTATTCTATCGACTACTGAGGCGATTATTGAGAAGGGAGGACGATGTCAGTCGCGGTGTCCGGTTTGTTGGGAACCTCTAGAAACAATGGAACATATGTTCTTGTTCTGTAGAGTGGCTAGAGGTTTGTGGGCTAGGGTGGGACTGAATATGGGCAGGAATGAGGAAGTTAACGTAAATTTTGCGTTATTCTTTAGGAGGTATATAAAGCATGATGTGAGCCCGGAGCCGGTTTTTTGGTTTGTTGCCTTGCTGTGGCGAATATGGAAGTCATAGAATTGGGTGATGTTTGATCATTTACAATATACCAAGGATGTTTTACTGCAGCAGTATAATGCTCAGGTGAATAAGTGGTTGGCGTTGTCCAGGCCTGTAGTTTTGCCGGTTCCAGATTTTCGCCCTACTGTAGGACCCTCTAGTGGGGGTGGTCTGGGTCTCAAGTGCTTCGTGGATGGAGCTTTTCAGCGGGGTTCCCATGCAGCGGGAGGCGCAGTTGTGCAAGATGCGACAGGCACTACAAAATTGAGAAGCTTTGGGGACAATAAGAGGGGACAAGTAATTGGGTTTGTCTTGGAAATTCAAAACTTAGTGGTACTAGGGACAATTTGATAATATCTTCCCCGGAGATGGAAGAGGTCAGAAATCATATTAGGAGAATAAATTTAGTCGTCCCCTAAATCAAATAAAGAACTAGAAGTAAATTTACAATCCCAAACAGCCGCCTGTTATCTTTCTTCTTCTTTTTCCCCCTATGTTTTTGGAATTTTAATGTATATATTATTAGCTCATGAAGGGGAACGAATCAGGTCAGTAACCTTATGGTGAGTAACCATGAGTAACCCGTTCACATTAGCTTGACATCAGCACACACCTCTTTCCTGAAAAGCCTTTAATTTTTCTCTCCTTAATCTTTGACGGACGACTTTGCACTCGTTTTAAGTCGAAATTTAAATTTTTTTTGCACAGTTAGATCAGATTAATTGTGCTCTTCAAAATGATATCCACTTGGATATATTTTTCGAACAAAAAAAATTTAGCTATTTTTTACCAGTCTATACCATATGGTATTGATTGGTATTGAATAAGAGCATACCTATGGTTTGAAAAGTGTACCATGGTGGTATGAACAAACCAAGACTGTAGGATGGTTGAATACATGATAGTAGAAGTATATTAACTGTCATTTACGACTTTTAACATTGTGTACCACAAGATACCACCCCATACCAGGGTGGTATTGTGCGGTATTTTTTGGTCCTGTAATTTGTTCACCCAGAAATTTGTAGATCCAATAGATCACGATGAACTCGTTTCTTCTGTGCAATCGTTTTCAAAAATGAATTAAAAACGAAGAAGATACCATATGGTATGCAGTTGCTACCGAAAGGCAAGAAATTTTTTTTTCTCAAAAAATATTGAAAATGGATCTTATTTTATGGAGCACAACGAACTCGTTCCATCTGTGAAAAAAAAATTAAAATCCAAGTTAAAATGAAGAAGATATGAGTCGATTAAGAAAGGTAGGAAAAATAAAAATGATCTTTAATTCTTCATTCTTAAATATGGATTTTCTAAATGAAGGGTCTAGATTTAGTTATTGATGGGGGCATAACCCTTAGTTATGCACCCTATCTTGACCCCATAAAAGGTACACCGTCCACTGTTCTTGTCCCCAATGCAAAAGGAACAAAGAAAACCTTGGTGTTTATGCTTTTCTTTCATTTATTAGTTTGGTTTTATTGATAAATTCACATTTATTAGTTTCTTTGGGTGGTGTGGAAGTTGAGAACTTGAGATTTTAAATGGTGTATTTAAACTTTACATGTCATGAGGAGAATTTTTCTTTAAAAAAAGAAACATAATATTTATATTTGAGCAAAATATGAGACCACAAAAATATTTTGTATGTATAATTGTTAATTTCAGTTAACAGCTGAGTTTGTTTGAGAGCTTAGAAATTTATTTTCTTCTTCTGATTTTTTGAGAGACCATCAAAATCATTCAACCTCCAAACAATATATTTATAAATTTATACATTAAAACAATCCATCTAATTAAAATATATAAACAAATTAAATACATCCATTTAAAAATCTCATTTCAAACATACTTTTTTTTATGTATTTGGTTTTGGATTGTCGCAATTAAATTTGTAATAGTATTTCTTTTCATTTGCTTTTATTGGACCGTGTATTATTTTTCCTTTTTGGATTGGTGAGGATGTATTTTAAATAGAGGTGTTTGTTATTGTGTGAGCCATTTATTCCAAAGCTTCCAATATAATTTTTCTTGTCACATTTTGTTCTCAATTGTTGCTCTAAATTGGGTTATAGCTTTGAGTTGTTTTTCTTTAAGGAAGTCTAAATTTTCGATTGTTCCATACCGTATATAGGGATGACAATTACCCATTCATAGGCATGGTTGTCGCGCCAATAAAATTTAGGTCGATTGAACCTCCAATTCTGATCATGAAATCGGCACGAACATCATCAATATAACAGAACTTATCGATTTACCACATCTAATCAAAATGACGTCGTTTTAGTGAATTTCATTAATACAAAATTAATTTATTATTTTAAAATTTTAAAAGTTAAATAGTGATGTTATTTGTTGGATTCAAGTATAAATGTTTAGGTATTGAGGTTAATTCTTGTATTTAAATATGAGTATTTGTTATTTTATTTTAAATGTCGTATTATATAGGTACCAATACGGAGGTAAGTAAATTGTCTCAAATATTTTTTATATATGATTAATTTCTTTTATGTTAATGGATTTTCACATTTATATATATTTTGTTAAATTGGTATGAACTGTCACAAACTGGTTGCACCCCAGTCAAAACATTTCACTTGCTAAACCAGTGAAATGATAAACCGGTTTGACAACCTTGTATACGGATAATTTTATCCAAACCCAAGTAAACTCATTAACTATGGGTAGGTTATGGGTGAAGTATATATATGAGTTTAAAGTTTTGTAAATGGATTTGGGTATGGATATGAATTTGAAATTGTTTATGATAATTTGATAACTTTATTTTTAAATTAATGTATTATACAAGTCATGTATATTATATATCATGAATGGTTCTATAAATGGTTAACTAACGATTTTGTAACGGTTAATCATTGACTCTAAACCACTAGCTTTTCTGGTTTGGCATCTGCTCCAGTTCTGAAAATGAAGAAGGAAATTGATGGAATCGAATTTTAATTATTTACTGGGGTAAAAGTTAATTGTTATTTGATCCACTTATGGCAAAAGGAAAAAAGTTAATTGTTCCCAAATCCCATAAGCAAGAGTTCAAACTTGAAACTTGAAAGTCTACTCTATGTGTTTAATTATATTATGCTTTTCCACTATTTAAACGTCGGTCCCCAACAATTATTCACTAACTTGACAGGGCTTTGGCAGGCGCCAGGGTTAGCAAAATTTCTTTGTGGCATTATAACACCCTAACCCGGCCGGGTACTTCTATTACCAAAATGCCATTGGTAACCGTTAACCAAAATAAGAACCAAACAGACTGGGAAAATTGGCGGGAAACTTTATTTAAATATCCATAATAAATATGTTGAAATTCAAATAACAATTTCTTGAAATTTGCATAAGAGAAAATCATAAACATCTTTAATAAATGTGCATCAAGTCTCGAGCCCTACTAATACACGAGATTGGAAAACTTCGTACTGGAGTCCTCTAGGTCCATTGATCCTTGTCACGAACTGCGAACTTCTAGCATGCTCTGGAGCTTCTACAATTCCTGAATGCGGGTGATGGGGTCAGTCCTAGTCCTAATTTCGTTATCAACCATTGACACATAATTACGCACATGCAAGCCTTGGGTACGTTATTGAGTACATTAGTAGAAGTACATTATCGTTAACATATTCTTACTGATAGTATTTCTTACTTAACTTGAAATGGGATCCCACTCTCGACTTAACTAGCACAACCGTCCGACCACCAGAACTTGATAATCGTGATAAACTTGATAACGTGATAAATACTTCCTCACAATGGGAAGGGAGCCTGATAAACTTGATAAATACTTCCTCACAATGGGAAGAGAGCCTGATAAACGTGATAAATACTTCCTCACAGTGGGAAGAGAGGTGGTCGCGTATGTAGCTAGCTAAATGAGGATTAAACGTGTTCTTACTTATTCGTACTTATTAACTTGATAGTTCTTACGCTTGATTGCATGCCTGAAAAGCTTGGTGATCTCCCACACAATGGGAAACTTGTTAACTTGCACTTAATTAGCTTGAAGTTGAACTTGTAGTAGCTTGACTCAAAACACAATTTACTTATGCTCCATGATGTTATGCATACGTAAAGTAAAGACTAAACGCAAATAATTGACATAATATGAAAGCATATAAGGAATGACGGAACATAAAACAAGGACTGGAATGCATAACATGAAATTAAATGCATGGAACGATAACGAAAACTATTCTAGCCCCCTTTAACCACGCACCTTATAAAAAGGTCGATTGACTTGAGTTACCCTTCAATGTACTATGCAAACCAATGTGAAGAGTTCTTATTTGATTTTCTTCCTTGAGGCATTTGACATGGGTTATTCTCCCCAGGACACATGCACACGGTAAAAGCCATGCATTAGAATTCATCCATGTAACTTTGTTTATTAAACCCTAACGTGTACCCATAAGATTCAAGCCTTCTTCACCCATCAATTTCACTCATGTCCCCAGCTCAATGCAATTAATTAATGGACAAGTCCAAGAATTGCTATCCCAACCATTCATCAACGTCCCAAATTCATGCACATCTAACCCCATTTAAACCTCCTACGTTATTGGAATCCAATCCTTCCCATCGAGCCCTTCATCTAGTTTTTACGAACACTTCCCATTAAACATCAACCAAACTTATGGAAGCGCTTGTTACCTTGTTCTCGATCTCGCTCGAGAATCATGTGGAATCGTCGTTGCCGTCCTAATGCCACTGTCAATGAATGGTCTGGATCACCATCTCCCTTGACGGTCGCATCTCTCCCCGTCATCGCTCCATCCTGTCATTGTTTCTCTTCCGGACCTCGTCCTTCCGATCATGCTCAAATCATCCAGCCAGCCCATGTACGTGTTCCCTGCTTCTTTATTGCCTTGATTCCAAACTCGACATCAACGATGAACCTTATCTGCAATCGTACTCCGTGGTTTCTCTTCCATCGACGGCATCCCAACGACATATATGGGTCGCCTCGTGTCTGCAGCCGCCAGCTTCCGATAGCCTACTTCTTGAATTCTAGTTGATGTTCGACGCCGTTATGGCCGCCGCCATAGCCGTTGAAAAGTCCTCCATAATCCACCAACCGTAGCTCACAAAGCTCAATATTACTTAGCCTGATAAACTTCGTACTGGAGTCCTCTAGGTCCATTGATCCTTGTCACGAACTGCGAACTTCTAGCATGCTCTGGAGCTTCTACAATTCCTGAATGCGGGTGATGGGGTCAGTCCTAGTCCTAATTTCGTTATCAACCATTGACACATAATTACGCACATGCAAGCCTTGGGTACGTTATTGAGTACATTAGTAGAAGTACATTATCGTTAACATATTCTTACTGATAGTATTTCTTACTTAACTTGAAATGGGATCCCACTCTCGACTTAACTAGCACAACCGTCCGACCACCAGATCTTGATAATCGTGATAAACTTGATAACGTGATAAATACTTCCTCACAATGGGAAGGGAGCCTGATAAACTTGATAAATACTTCCTCACAATGGGAAGAGAGCCTGATAAACGTGATAAATACTTCCTCACAGTGGGAAGAGAGGTGGTCGCGTATGTAACTAGCTAAATGAGGATTAAACGTGTTCTTACTTATTCGTACTTATTAACTTGATAGTTCTTACGCTTGATTGCATGCCTGAAAAGCTTGGTGATCTCCCACACAATGGGAAACTTGTTAACTTGCACTTAATTAGCTTGAAGTTGAACTTGTAGTAGCTTGACTCAAAACACAATTTACTTATGCTCCATGATGTTATGCATACGTAAAGTAAAGACTAAACGCAAATAATTGACATAATATGAAAGCATATAAGGAATGACGGAACATAAAACAAGGACTGGAATGCATAACATGAAATTAAATGCATGGAACGATAACGAAAACTATTCTAGCCCCCTTTAACCACGCACCTTATAAAAAGGTCGATTGACTTGAGTTACCCTTCAATGTACTATGCAAACCAATGTGAAGAGTTCTTATTTGATTTTCTTCCTTGAGGCATTTGACATGGGTTATTCTCCCCAGGACACATGCACACGGTAAAAGCCATGCATTAGAATTCATCCATGTAACTTTGTTTATTAAACCCTAACGTGTACCCATAAGATTCAAGCCTTCTTCACCCATCAATTTCACTCATGTCCCCGGCTCAATGCAATTAATTAATGGACAAGTCCAAGAATTGCTATCCCAACCATTCATCAACGTCCCAAATTCATGCACATCTAACCCCATTTAAACCTCCTACGTTATTGGAATCCAATCCTTCCCATCGAGCCCTTCATCTAGTTTTTACGAACACTTCCCATTAAACATCAACCAAACTTATGGAAGCGCTTGTTACCTTGTTCTCGATCTCGCTCGAGAATCAGGTGGAATCGTCGTTGCCGTCCTAATGCCACTGTCAATGAATGGTCTGGATCACCATCTCCCTTGACGGTCGCATCTCTCCCCGTCATCGCTCCATCCTGTCATTGTTGCTCTTCCGGACCTCGTCCTTCCGATCATGCTCAAATCATCCAGCCAGCCCATGTACGTGTTCCCTGCTTCTTTATTGCCTTGATTCCAAACTCGACATCAACGATGAACCTTATCTGCAATCGTACTCCGTGGTTTCTCTTCCATCGACGGCATCCCAACGACATATATGGGTCGCCTCGTGTCTGCAGCCGCCAGCTTCCGATAGCCTACTTCTTGAATTCTAGTTGATGTTCGACGCCGTTATGGCCGCCGCCATAGCCGTTGAAAAGTCCTCCATAATCCACCAACCGTAGCTCACAAAGCTCAATATTACTTAGCTCGGTCCCCCCCCCCCCCATCGTTGTACTGCCGTCTGCCAACAACTTAGCGCCAGGAGAATCTGGACCTCGTCTCGACTTTCTCTCTCACTAGCGCTTCCTGCCCTTTTGGTTTCACTCTCCCTTCTATCTCATGGTATTGAGCGGCCGCCCCCCCCCCCCCCCCCCCCCCCCCCCCCCCCTCCAATTCTTCCTCTATTCACTTAATATATATACCCCTAACCTTAAAACCCTAAGGTAATTCTTATTGTAATTATTATAATAATTATATATAATAAAACGTAAACCCCAATAATCTATGGATATGACAATTCATGGGCTTTCTTTTGCTGATCCTGTTACTAATTTCAGTTCAGTCCCTGCAGACTTGATCTCGGTTTTGTTGGAGTTCTTGTACTAACCATCGACCCAAACCATAAATTTATGGTGGTTGAACCTAATTCCAAATTCGGGATGTTACAGGCATTGTCAAAAAAAAAAAAAATTCTTTGTGGCGGGCTAGCCAAAATTTTGAGCTCTAGCGCCGGGAAACCACAAATTTCGGGGTTAAGTCGTAAAGGGCTCAAGATAGGATGTATAACCATGGGTTATGCATTTATCAATAACAAAATCTGGATTTTCATTTAGAAAATCCAGATCTAAGGATGGAGAATTAAAAATTATTTTTATTTTCTCTAGCTTTCTTAATCGACTCATATCTTTTTCGTTTTAACTCAGATTTTAATTTTTTTTGCACAGGTGGAACGAGTTCATCGTGCTCTGCAAAATGAGATCAATTTTCAATATTTTTTTAGAACAAAAAATTCTGGCCTCTCGATACCAACTGCATACCATATGGTATTTTCTTCATTTTTAATTCGTTTTTGAAAACGTTTGCACAGAAGGGACGAGTTCATCATGATCTATTGGATCTACAAATTTCTGGGTGAACAAATTACAAGACCAAAAAATACAACACAATACCATACAATACCACCCTGGTACGGGGTGGTATTGTATGGTATCTTCTTCGTTTTTAATTCATTTTTGAAAACGTTTGCACAGAAGGGACGAACTCATCATGATCTATTGGATCTACAAATTTATGGGTGAACAAATTACAGGACCAAAAAATACCACACAATACCATACAATACCACCCTGGTACGGGGAGGTATCTTGTGGTATACAATGTTAAAAGTCGTAAATGACAATTAATATATTTCTACTATCATGTATTCAACCATCCTACAATCTTGGTTTGTTCATACCACCATGGTACTTTTTTCAAACGATAGGTATGCTTTTATTTCAATACCAGTCAATACCATATGGTATAGACTGGTAAAAAATGGCTCAATTTTTTTTGTTCGAAAAATATATTAAAGTGGATATCATTTTGAAGAACACAATTAATCTGATCTAACTGTGAAAAAAAATTTAAATTTCGACTTAAAATGAGTGAGAAATCATCTGTCAAAGATTAAAGAGGGGAAATTAAAGGCTTTCCAGGAAAGAGAGGATGCTGATGTCATGCTGATGTGGACAGGTTACTCATGATTACTCACTGCAAGGTTACTCACCGAATCTGCTCCTGTCGTAAAGGGTTTTCTAATTTATCAACAAATTAAAAAGAAAATAAAGGCATTTAGGGTTTCGGTTTCACCTTTATAGAGGTAGGCTAGACACAAAAATCTTCTTCCCCTCACATTCTTCTTCCTGGAAACGAATTTTCCTCCGCGATCAAGTAATCCGATCCTCCTTCAATTCTACCATCTTTTATTTTTCCTGGTATATATGGAGATACCTCACACTCTCCCCTTCTATTCCTGCCATTTTCCCCAAAAAAGAAAGAAAATCCCAAGGCCTTCGATTGTTTGAATGCGACACAGAGATATGAAATTTCATCGTGGTGGCTAAGTACGAAACCCCCTCTAAATCTTTGGTTCGCTTTTATATTTTGACAACAAGAAGAAAGAAAACAATCAAAGTACTTTCTCCTCCATATTTCGTGCCATATGTCTTTAGATTTTGCATTGATTTTGCTCGGAATGTTAACATTTAAATTCTGTTTTAATATTTTTTTAGGAGATAAAAGAAGATGTTTGTTGATCAATTCGAGCGGTGGTATTGTGTAGATATATGATAGTGAGCTTGCAATAGGTGAAATCATAGCACAATTTATGGATTTTGATTGTCTTTTAGTTGTTTCAATTATTGTTTTCAAATGATGAATGTCAATGTTCTTATCATGGGATTGGAATGATATTGTTGTATATTTGCTTCAATTTTTTATGAAGACGGTTTGATGACAATTTTTTTATTAAGTATATGTCCCAAAAAGTTCTAAAAGGTGATTTAAATTTTATGAGACATGTTGATTTCCCTGTGACTTATATGGGTAATAATTTTTGGTTCCTTAAGATATTGATTTAGTGACATATATCGTCTCTAAAACTTACAACTATGTCAATTAGTCGTCCCTCATCATACTATTTAAGGACAAATGAGCGACTTCATAAATTACATAAGTGACAATTTGTCGTCCTCGAATACACAACTAAAGAGATAATTGATTGTCCTTACAAGTTAAATAGACAACTTATTAAGAGACAATTTGTCGTCCCTAAAAGTTCCAATAGTGACATTTAGTCGTCCCCAAGACATAAGGTGAGAAACAAATTATCGTCCCTAAAAGTTGCATATGCGACAATTTTTCGTCTCCAAAGATATATTATAAGGGACTACTGGTTGTTCATGCCACACTTTTGGAGACGATTTATTGACTCCAATTCGATACCTACGAGGACGACATGTAGACCCTATATAAAGAAAAGGGGACAATATGTTATCCCCAGATAGCCATAAGATTTGTCCCTAGAAATAATGTTTATGGGACGATTTATTGTCGATAAAGTCATGGCTATTGGGACGACATGTTGTCTTTCATGAAAAAGAAACGAGACGCAACTCTTGAGCATTGGGGACGGCTGTCGTCCCTAGTAATGGGGACGACCTCAAATTTTGTCGTCCCCAAAAGAATAGAGGACAAGAGTATAGGGAACCACACTTTGAGGACGATTTGGTCGTCCCCAAAAACTATAGAGACGATTTTCCTTATTTCCGGGGACGACTTTTGTCATCCCCGAACCTCCACTTTTTTGTAGTACAATTCTTTTTGCTAAAGGCTTTCATTATGCATGTTTGCGAGATCCTTGGGTGGTCGAATTGGTTGTGATGCGTGATGCAATTCGATGGTGCTCTATGATGGGACTATCGGAGATTATTTTCTGCGGCGATGCCAAAGGAGTGCTTGATAAGGTAAAGGAGAATGTGATACATGATGTTCGTGGAGGTGTGTTATTGGAAGAAATTATGCAGCTTCGCCAACAATTCAGGGTATTTGGAGTGCGGTTCGTTGACAAGATAAACAATCGGGTGGCCCATCTGGTGGCTAAGAAGACCCTTTCTTTGTTACCTACAAGTGTTGATACTTTTGATTTTCGACTTTGGTTTGTTCATATGGTGTAATCTCTTGTTATCTTTTCGTCTTGGTAATATAAGTGAGCTATTGGCGCAAAAAAAAAAAAAAAAAAATAGAAGCAAACTACAATGGACCCAGGGAGTATAGTCTTTCCATGTGTGGGCTAGGTT